AGTTTATCCTGCCTTACAATACACCTTCAAACCAAATTTTATCAAAATTGGACAAAAATTACTCAAGTTATCGTCTGGACGGACACATATATCTCTCTCTATATATATACATATATACAAATTTGAACGAATGGTGTTTTTGGCCTCTGGGTACCTCAAAATGAAAAAGTAAATCGGTCTCGGGCCTAGGTCTACCACGAGAGCTACAGTTACTTCCCAGTAGGGAAATTATCTAAAAAAATAAAGTGGTTGTTACCGTTGAATAAAGAAATAAATAAAAATACCTTAAATTTGAAGAAATGTAAACAAAACTAAATAATGTAGAATAATGCTTGAAAATACAAAAGTAAAGTAAAGCGATATTTTTCAGTAAAAATGTTTTTTAATAAAATGTTATTTAAAAAAAATATTTCAAAATTTATAAGACCAATACAAAAACGTCACACTTTTCCATTACATTTTCCTGGCTTAGTTATAGTATATAATATATTTCAGATTCGGCTGGCAAAAAGAAACCCAATTTTTTTCTTTTAGCGAATTTCCCATACAGGGAATAAGCTATTACCGTAGGTCTCATGGTAAGACCTGGATCCGGGACCGATTTACTTTTTCCTTTTGAGGTCCCTAGAGGCCAAAAACACCATCCGTTCAAATTCATCTATATATATAAAATCCAATGTATGTTAGTTTGTCGTTTATGGACTCCGAAACCGCTTGAATTTTCAGGTATTATTAAGCATTATTAAAGGATGGTTTGTGTGAAGTTTGGTGCAGATCCGTCAAAAGAGCTCCGCTCCAGTGGCTCTGGAGTTTCCCATGTTAACCTTATGAGTACTCATATTTTAATGGAATTAAAGAATCTTAACAGCTGGTTCAACTAAACAATTTGACTCTGTAATGATTAATAGCATTAAAAAGATAATAGGTTTACCAACAGGGTGCAGCACTATTATTTTTTTAAATTTATGACAACAGCTAATTTGCAACCAAATGGTGAGTGAGCGTAGCGAACGAACGTCAACCTGGAGGCGAGTTAGAGTAGCGAACCAGCTCCAACCTAAAGGTGAGTAAGCATAGCAAACGAACTTCAACCAGGACGTGATTGAGCCATGCGAACGAGCTCATCTTGAAAATGAACGAGCATTGACATAAAACCACATTAGGAAAGGACGACGTCTGTCGGGCCAGCTAGTATATATATATATATATGTGTGTCTGTTAGCACAATAACTCTAACAAAAATGATCCGATTTTGATGAAATTTGGTATAAACCTACAATATTTAAACGAGTTCGCAAACCAGCATGATCGGACCATGAGAACAGGGGTTTATGGGGGGTTTTATGGGGTAAAAATGGGTTTTCCCATTTTTGACCCTAAAAACATAAAATTTTGGAATATCTTTCCCAACCATTTTGTAGAGCTTAAAAAAATAAATAATTTAGTATATTGAAGCATTGTTGTATACCTAAGGGTTGCAGAGAAAACTCAAAAAAGTGTAAATTTAAAATTCTCATGTTATTTTAAGGAGAAAATGAAAACTTTTGTAGTTAATTGTTTATGGATATGTTAATAAAATTTGGCAAATTTTTTTATTTCATACTATACTATTACAAACAACTTTTTACCTTCCGCGTAGCAGCAAACCTAAGCACTCGTTAAATCTAATGCTATTTAAATAGGGAATAATATGTCTTATTTATGGAAATATTTGAGTAAAAATGTAATCAGACAACTGGAAATTCGCTTAGTCTGCAGGTTTGCTGCGGCGGCTTGGAACTGGCTTTAAGATATAGCTTGATCACAAGTATTGATTTAAACAAAATCAGCTGTTTTAAGACTTCCAATGTTATTTTTATGAAGAACATTTGGTGTTATATCTAAAATATGCTAAAAAGATGGGAATTTCCCTATTTTTCCCGCTTTTACATAATAAGGACCTTTGAGCCCTCTCGTGTCTTTCTACAGCTTGACAGACGCTCACAATTTTGATACAAAGAGTTCAATACAGGGTGTAAAAAGTCCTGCACAGATTTAATATGTTCTGAACGAACAATATCAGATAAATTAATAAGATTTGGTACATTACATACGACATCTGAAAATCTAATTTTTAAGGAAATATCAGTTTTCTGTCATATCAAGGATTCAGGAGGAAATCTTAAATGTAAGCATACATTGATATGCACATAAAAGGTATTAGGACATAATTAGTAGAATACAATGCCGCAAATTTGAGCTACCCTATATGGTTTTTATTATATTATTATAGTTGGTTAAAAAAACAAGATTATTTTATATATTTATTACATTTCAAAATAATTATACACCAAAGAGCATCTCTCGGTCCCCTGGTTCTAGTTTAAAAATCAACTGTCTATCTTATTTGTACTTTTTTTACCAGTTTTCTAATTATTACCAAGAAATTTGAAGCACAAGACAATATGATAAGAGCTCTTAACATTGCAAGACATAAATTACATATTAAAATTGCCTTCAACTGATTCATATGATAATAAATTAGTAAAATCCCATTTTTAATCCATGCTGATACTAAGAACATATGTTGGCTTTTATATAAATAAAATTAGAGTTTTGTCTGTACATTGCTCAGAATCATACATTTTTAGGTTATTTTTACGTTTTATACATTAAAGAAGCCGAAACAAGTCTCATATAAATTTCTGTCTGTCTGTCTGTAACACTCAAGATGGCATTTTACCCAATCTTCTCCAGGAAAACGAGAGTACCTATCAAGATCCAAGCCATTTTAATGCATTCACTGAATTGGCGAGAGTGTCTTTAGCCATTAAAATATGGCCTCAATACTTTGTAAATAAAATTACGGACGTTCAAAAATGCAGTTTTGTGCGATTTTTGTCAAGTTTTCGTCCAATTTGTATCACATAATCATCTATGAAATAACGAACAGCTGTCCGGATCAAGACTATTTTTTCTAGCTGTCACTGATATGTTTACAAATGTTGTTTACAAATACCGCAACCATTTCCGATCACGTTTTGAAGGCAAATCCCAACCAAGTAAGATTAAAAACGTTTTTCTTACATAACGGATTTAATTAATCGCAAGTGGAATAATATAGTGTAACCGTAAATGAAATGAAATAACTAGGCATCATTCAGGTCAGGAACCAGAGATTCTTTGTGTATAAAATTGTTCTTGAGTTTTGATAACCAGAAAGAAGACCTTGAATCAGTGTTGTATACGGCTGGGAAACTTAAATTTATTAATGATCGTCGCCAATAGCTTACAAACAAGGTTTCCACTCATTGACGGCGCTTCCATGGCGGTTGTGTAAAGTGTAAAGTAAAAAATCACAACTGCAGTGGGTGATTGTAACAGGGGTTTACGGATGATGCTAAACTCGCTTTTCCTATGTGTCACCTTCTGTTCCTACCATTGATTGACTATATATATAGTCAATAGTTCCTACTCACCGTGTGATGCAATCGCTAGACCATACAGCCAATAAGCCCATAGCCTATCTCTTAGGTACTTATGCCTACCCAATTATTCATAACAACCTTTTCGACTACGATCCTTGATACCGGTACTTTGCCCTAGAATACACGGCCTCCCTACTTAAGAAATAAAATTACAAACGTCCAAAAACCCAGCATTGTGTGATTTTTGTCACATTTCCTTCTAATGTTAAAATATATACCAATCATTGTTTAGAGAATACGTAATCTATTAAATAACAAAAAATAGTTTGTATAAGGTTTTTTTTTTCAAACTGACACCAATAAGTTTACATTAAAAGTTGTTTACGAATAAAGCAATTAATAGGAAATAACTTTGATTGCCGATAACTTTTCACGAGAAAATCTAAAACCAAGAAATCAATCCTTCGGATTTGATTAACGCATTTAATTAGTCGGACGTAATTCTTAATTGTAAACGTTGGTTTTTGGTACTGGTTCTCTTCTTTAGAACCGTTGGTAGCAGCAAGAATCATGTTTACGTACCAACACATCACTGTAATTTACAAATTAGTTATCGTTGGTGTTGCACCTTATTTATACAGTCGTATTACAGCTGTATTCAATTTAATTGATGTCTTAACTGTACAAGTTTTGCTTTTTCTGTCTGGATTCCAAAATGTTAGTTTATGCTAAGAAAATGATAACTCATTTAAGTAAAACATTTGTTCGGCATACCATCATGAATTGTTTATGATTTACGTTGTTTATGTATCAATAGTTTGTGGCTTATTTTGGTAATTTTTATTTTAAATTACCAATCTAAATCGTCTATAGTACTTCATTTCATATAGTAAGCCGTCATTTCGACAGCATTTCGGGTCATCTTTGGTCCAAGCAAATATTAATTGTTATGATAAAATTTGATAACATTGACAAAGATTTCAAATACTAATTTTATATGTACAGTACTTTGCTATGCTTAAAACGTAGCAAATTCCCTAATTAATATTAAGTCCTGTATTTTTTGTGTGTTTGTCTGTAGGTAACGCATTAATGTCCTTATTTCTCAGTGTCAAGAAAAGGACAAGAGCACCATTAATAATGAAAATGTCAAACCGAATAAAGTGTTAAATGGTGAGGTTGAGGTAGTACTTTAAATACTTTTAACCATTGTGACTTTCAAAGTAACTTTCAACTATAGACCTTCCTCAGGGCTGCCTCATAGATCTAGGCCTAGAAAGCTTTTTTTAGTTTTATCATAGGATTTAACATATGGACCAACACGATCCGGGTGACATTTAGGCCTAATTGCGAAGCATTTGTTTTGGTTTGAAACTGTCAGATACTGTATATAAGGTTTATATACAGTTTTGCCAGCATATCTGAAAATATTCAAACCAACTGTTGTTCTTAATATAAGAAGGTTTCAACTGACTACTATAAGGTCCCCGTGCGTAGGACGGGCACACAGCTAGTTTTAACTAAAATTTCCTGTCCTTAAAAGCTTAGTAGAATCTTTTTAGGGAATAAGTAAACAAATGTTAGCTATCAATGTATGTGAGGTATTATGTCAAAAATAAAGTTTAATTTGTCTTCAAACTACCAGACATCACATTACTCAGATTATAATATTAACTAAAACTAAAATCACAGTCACTCTTTTCACTCAATATTTTCAAAACATTTCCTGTCATCCTGGTGATGAGCGCATGCAGTTTACTGTCAGGGAGATCGTCGGCCCAAAGGCGGAACAATGTGTCTTCAGCAACTTTCTTCACTGGGGACTTTGAATCACTCTCATATTTTAGTGTAAACAGATATATAGCCTTATTAACAAGTGGTGAGAATCTATCGCAAAGGTAATGCAAACTTGTTGCTACTGTTGGATCGATATCCTCGATGTGTGTGATGATCATTGAACCTGCTTTTTTAATACGGTTTTCCATCATTTCTAAGAGCTTCCCAGGATCATTTATTAATTTTGGATCATTAAGTTCTGCTCCTGGAACTGTAACAGGTGGGATCTCTTTATTCATAAGATATTTTGATGCTGCTTTTGCAACGTCCCAAGCAATGCATTTAGCTGTTTTTTCTGCCAGATCATCATCATACAATAATAAAAATACTGACGGCTTATTAGGGGTTTCTGAAGTCACTGATTTAATTCCACCAGCAAAGGTAATCCAAGTCTTTTCTTCTTGCCGTTTATAAATGTTGTCTTCTAGACTGTAAAGCGCATTGTCCAAGTTGATTTCAGCCTGAGTTTGATTATACATCTTCACTTCAAAAGATTTTTCAGAGGTTTTAAACTTGTTAAAATAAACTCCAAATATTATTATTATGATACACAGCACCAGAAACAATATAAATTCTTTTGATAATGAACACGAGCCTGTGCTTGTATCTTTTAGAACTTGCTGTTTTTCATTTGTTACTGTTGTATCTGAAAAATATTACAGGATTGAAAAATTTTGATTACATTTAGCCTACTACCTAAACATACATGCCCATATGAGCATCGGTGGTTAGTAAGTATAACTAGGCCTGTGGATAAAAATCTAAACTGACAGTGTTTTCTTTGAATACTATTCTACAATAACAATTTTAAAGTCTTAGAATTGTAAATAACCAAAGAACATAAGATATTTCAATTTCCAAGTTTCAAGTAGAGTGAAATTTTTGTTCATGTTCATAAAATCCCAATAATCTGGCTTGTTCGATAATTTGTCATCAATCTAAAGGAGGGCTGGATTTCCCAATAGACCCAGGCCTATGAGCGAAAGCCCCTCGGGGACGCACAGCCGAGAGAAAAAATAGAAATCTCTATTAATATAAATAAATAAATAGCAATAGCTTTATTTATTTTGCTAATTGATTTTTAACAAATCTGGCTAATATAGCATTCTGATTCTGGAGCTGGTTGGAACAATTAAATTGTTGGCGCATCAACTTTGTCACAACATTGGTCTTAAACACGGGAGAATGTTGTAGGGATATTGGCAAGCGGTACGCATCGTATTGCCATTGCCACTCACTGCCACTATGCTGGCTCAACGCTACTGCTCGGCGTGAATAGGGGCGCATGCCAATGTTATAGTCAAGACATAGTTACTTACTACCCTTACCTCGCAAAACAAAAGTTACTACTAACCTATCTTTTGATTAGCTTTCCACCTGCAGGATCAAGTTAAAACATATACAGTAGACTCCCTCTTATTCGGACTCCTCGGGACCGAGGCCAGTCCGGATAACGGGTTTTCCGGTTAAACCGACGTCCCCAAAAACTCGTTAAAACGGATCATTTACTGTGATATTAGACTTAAATTTAGGAGAGCATTGTATTTAGACACGTGATCACTAGTCTCAAACCTTTCCCACGAGAATAGTCGTTTCAGTACCGCCCACTTCCTGCCGATTTAGTCCAGTTAAACCAATGTGCTGATAAAAATTGTCCGGTTAAATAGATGTCATTTCCGCCGAGTGTGGTCCGGTTAAACCGATGTCCGGTTAAAAGGTGTCCGGATAAGAGGGAGTCCTGTACTTAATACGTTTTGTATTGTGTTGAATGTTCAAAAAACTATGAGTTCGTCTTTAAAATAAAAGACATAAATATTAATCTGAATTTGCAATAGGTTTTAAAAAGTGCCATTTTAATTCTGCCATTCTATCCTCAAGCCTGAGGATTGGTATAGTTGGCCGAAATATATTGCTTTGTTTTGCTTTGCAAATAAAATCCATATTAGACTAACCAACACAAGTAGGCAAAAAACACATCACAAAAAATCTAAAGATTATTTTAAATATCTAGTTCATGTTGGTGACACTGGTCGCTGGTGTCAAAAAATTTTGTTTCTATTATTTTTGGGTTAATTTGATGATGTGTTTTTATTTCCTGTAAACTAACTAGGGAACGAGCTATTGTTTATGATTAGATCGTTTTATCTGGTTGGTTAAATGAAGTTTTAAATAACAAGAATTGTCTTTAACTGATCATTAGGATGACAAATCTACCAAGTGAGTTAGAACGTTACTATGGTATCACGTACTGTACAGAGTTCATGTTTTTGAAGCCACTGTGGCAGCAGCAATGGCCTTGCTTTGTTGCAGGAATGCTCTGCGAGTCAGTTCGTTGTGTTTCAGTCCCTCAAAACTTGAGCTATAAGTTAATACATAAAATTGCTTAGAGTGATTAAGAAGGATTTTTTTAAAGACATAACCAAGTAAAGTGTTAAACAAACTTTAATTGGTTAAATTGCATTGTGGAGTGGAGTTGTTGTAAATTACAATCAGTGTAGAGTGACATAAAATAAGCCTGATATAATTTATTTAAAGGTTCGTAGGAAAGTAACTTTAACCAGACTAGGGGGCAGAAAAATTATATTAGTCAAAATGCTAAATCCGGCCCTGAATATAAGAGGGGGTTTATTCTTAAGTTGAGGGGAGAAAAATCCAGCCAATGGTTTGTTGTCATATGTGCTCTCAGATTTTTTAGTTCTCATGTTTTATACATAAAGAAAGTTGTTTACTTACAAAATACAATCAGAAAAGAGCGAGATAAGGATAACACAGGGGTAGGGGTCAACGCTGCCGACACGTGACAGTCGCGACTTACCTTCCACCGGCGCCGTGTCTCGTGAATCAGCGTCTGGTCGACCAGTTTATATTAAATGTATTTTCGTGTGTGTCGTATCCGTATGTGTGTCCCGTTTATTTATTTGTTTATATTTTTGACAAACTCTACATGAGGGATTAGCAAGACATTCTGGACCTGAAGATGTGCTATTTTTTAAGCACGAAACAGCTGTAGTCATCATACTACTAAACTGATCGTTTTGACGGAAAACAGGTAATTTAAACCTATATTAGTTTATTCAGACGATCTAGAGGCCATTCCATCATGAAATTACAAAATACAATTCTATCTAGGTTTAAGGTTAAAATCCTCAGAATCTATGAACTGGTTTTTTGCAAAACTGTACTGGATTAAGTGAAAATGACGTTAAAAACCTTTATATAGAAGACTGGTTGAGAGAATGTAAATGTGCAGAATGTAGAATCAAGTTGCTTTCAATAATATCAGGATAATGTCTTTTTAATCTTGAGATTGTTACAGTTACTTGCATTGCAATTGATCCTTATTGAGCTATTCTAGTTCTAATTAATTTTTTTTATTGTAATAGAACAAAAGGTGCATTTTTGCTTACTATTACAGCAGCCTCAACAATATATTAAGCATAATACCTACCTTCCTTACAGATCACATCTTCAACTCCATTTAAGTTTGGATACAGATTATTGTCCACTTCACAGTTGGTTTCAGCTTCAATTTTTTCTTGAGTTGGTTTTTTAGATCTTCCACTTGCTGTACATCTTTTGGCCTGCAAAAGATTGTAACTTGTGAAATTAGGCTTAAAATTAAATGAAAAATCTTTATCTAGATTTTCCCGTCCAATAGGAAAATTAATCCCCACAGGATCCGTCTATTATCTATTAGTTTTAATTATTATTAACAGCTATAATTACAAGAAATACAGTGTGTTTTGTTCTTCAATTTGTCTGTTGTGTGTTCTTCTAGCGCGAGCATTTTGGTGTCAGGGCATTGGGAGCTCAGTCAACATCTAGTCTACTAGTGAGAGGCTCGTGTTGTACTCCCTTGAGTTACTGTGCCAGTTTGAAAGGGTTACGTTAATTGAAAATGCCAGGAACTAAGAGGTTTTTACAGTAAAAAGATTTGTTACTGCAAAAAACTGTTAACCAATAGAAATCTATTGCAAGCTTTGTGATGTGTATGGAGACAACATTATCACATAAGGTGTAGTGCGTCAGTGGGTCAAACAAAACATTTAAAAATGGCCAAACTAACGTTCACGACGAAGAGCGAAGTGAAAGAACCAGCATTGTGACTGCCAGACTTGTCGATAACGTGCACAAAATTATCACTGAAAAGCTTGTTTACCACACAGGTTTTGTGCAAGATTTAATACCAAAAATCTTGACAGAGATCTAAAAAAATCAGCGAATGGCAAATGGTGGAAAAAGTGTTATTGTGGTTGATGATTTAAGAGGTGACGGGAGCCAACTCGCCCGAGCTCAGCGCTACCCGCTAGTTTAACATGGAGCGGCGACACATTTGACTTATTTCAGGAAATATATACACACTAGCTGGCCCGACAGACTCCGTTCTGTCCTAATGTGGTTTTATGTCAAATGTTCGTTTATTTTCAAGATGAGCTCGTTTGCATGGCTCAATCACGTCCTGGTTGAAGTTTGTTCGCTACGCTCACTCACCAGCTGTTAAGATTCTTTAATTCCATTTAAATATGAGTACTCATAAGGTTAACATGGGAAACTGCAGAGCCACTGGGGCGGAGCCCTTTTGACGGGTCTGCACCAAACTTCACGAAAACCATCCTTGAATAATGCCTGAAAGAGATATTCCACGAGCTGAAAGGGATGGAAGCCTAAAATTGTTAAGAATCATCATCGCAAACTGTCAAATTCACATTTACAAGTTTAGTTCAATTTGTCTAGGTCTTTAGGTCAAAACTAATATGAACTATAATTAAAAATGATTATACTATTTACTTCCATATCTTAGTCAATACTATGAGTTAATAGTTTAATTTTATTATTGCGTTTTATCTCTTGCCATAAAAACGTTTTATATTTTTTAACTACCTAAATTACACTTGATGTAATGAAATTGTTAAACTACATCTGCCCTGCAACGTTGTGATATATGGATATAAATCTATCTTTTCCCGCAGTATTGTAATAACCAATTGAATAGAACATATTGCAGTTACTGCGAATTAAGTAAACTGATTAATACAGTTATACTTGTACTTTGTAAATATTCAGTTACAGATAAATTATTTATTTAATAGATTTGCCTTACTGTGTTATTTTTACTTATATTCAATTAAGTGTACACATCAATGGTTAAGTGTACAAATTTATTTTTTTATTATGTTGTAAATAATATTTAAGTAAAAACCCGTTTCATATATTATATGAAACGGGTTTTTACTCTACTGACCCATATTTTTCATTCATTTTGTAATAATGTTGCCAAATGTTTTTATTTAATTTCAAACATACTGGTACGAGTATAATCAATTTATTAACTACAGATATTTATTTATTAGAACTGAACTACCCTGCTGTAGTTGTGTTACTGATAATAAAATGTACATATAAATATTATTTAAGTATAGTTTTTTAACTTTTTAAAATTATGTTGTAAATAACTGTAAAATATGAAACAGATTTTTACTCTACTGACTCATATACGTTTTATCTATTATTATAATGTTTCCGAATGATAAAATTTAATTTGAAACTAAAATCACTTTCCTAATTATAAATGGATTAATATAACCCAACGATGTTTTATTATATATTCCTACAATGCACATTATTACATAATATCTTAGATTTAAGTTACATGGGGTTTTTTTATTGAGCGGAGCGAGCGAAGGTCTTTGAGATCGGAACTTATGCAAACTATGTAATCAGATAACTCAATAACGGCTGAACATATTAAAGCCAAACTTTCCAGGGTTATTTTGACAAACAGTGAGCATGTTTGTACACAAACTAATTTCAATTTGATAATGTCCGTACAGATGAAAACTAATCAAAATTTTTTAACATTGGCCTTATGGTTTGCTATGATGGTTACCAATTAGCAAAACAACTTAAATGTAAATAAAGAAAGACTAATGTCATTTTGGTTATCACAAACCATCTACAGTAAGCTAGCAAATTACAAAACACAGTCCTAAAGAGAACAGTCCGAATAATACCATTGATCATTGATTACTACTCTTAGGTTGTACTAGGTGAAACCCGTCGAAATCGACGGTTACTTTCAAGGGTTACGTTAATTCATCAAACTGCGATAAATTGGGTTACAAAAAACTAATTTGGGTATAAATATTTTGAGCATTTAGCCTCGTTTAAAGAGTAATAAGTGTAAAAACAATAATGATATTATTTGCGTTAGTTGCCAAACTTGGTTGATCATTCAATGAATAACATATTCCACATACCATACGTCATCGGAGTTATTATTAGTATGTTATATGGTATTCCTTTGGAAGAACCTTTAAATAGTATTAAAATCGTAATGGTGGATCTTTTGTAGTTAAACACTTCCGTGATTTTATCAGTGTAATATGATTTTATTTCAAAAGAAAATATTTTTTGGGAAGACATATTCTAACTTCAAAGGGAGGTATATCCGTTACAGTGTAAGTTTGATTTTTCCTTCGTCACGTCGCGTCAGTTCATATCGTACTTCTGTGCCAATGAATGAACCCTCAAGCATAGTTTTGAGAAATTGATTGTGGGGTTACTGTTAAAGCTGGAATTCCTTGACATGAGGGATGTCAGTTAGTTGCCTCAGCCTTATCAATGACACATTGACCTTGTAGGTCCGCTACCTGTCTCCGAAGGTTACAGGTACTGTTTGACCCGTGTTGATCATTTCTCAAGGTGGCCAGAAGCAGTACCAATCGAAAACATAGAAGCAGAAACTGTAGCACGAGCACTTTTTACCACTTGGATTTCTAGGTACGGAACACCACTACGAATTTCAACAGATCAAAGTCGGCAATTTGAGTCAAGCCTGTTTAAACACCTAGGAGATTTGTTAGGTTCGACTCGTCTCAGAACAACTTCCTATCACCCATCGTCAAATGGACTAGTTGAACGTTTTCACCGTCAACTGAAGGCAGCCATCAGATGCCACGCAACAGCACGATGGACTGAGGTATTGCCCGTCATACTTTTGGGAATACGGACAGCATGGCGTGATGATCTACAAGCTTCTTCAGCTGAACTCCTGTATGGTCAACCACTTTGCCTACCTGGAGAGTTCCTTACACTTAGCGATTCCAACCATGAACTTGACCCACAAAGTTTTGCCAAAAATCTACGTCAACATTTCAACAACTTAAGACCAGTTGATGGAACAAGACATGGAGGTAGGACGCCATTCGTGTTCAAGGATCTCAACACATGCACTCATGTCTTCGTACGTACCGACATTTCTAAGGGTGCACTCGATCCCCCCTACTCAGGTCCTTACCTCGTCATTAGAAGATCTGACAAGACTGCAGCAATTCGGATTCGAGGCAATGATGTAACCATTTCAATGGATCGACTTAAGCCAGTCTATTCCTTAAAACTCGACCATGATGACACCAGCGTTTCCAGAGGCACCATAACTTCTACTCCTCCCTTTTCTCATTCTGACATTCAACAACGAGGTACCTTGACATCTAAATCTATTTTGAGATCTAAACCATTAACTAGGCGCTCTGGGAGGCAAGTTCATTTTCCAGTACGGTTCCAGAGTTGATTTTTTTTCGTGTTTGCTCAACTACACAGCTCAACCACTGGCAAGGGGGTACTGTAGTGCCTGACGACTACTTACCTGTATATAAATCTTTATTTTAACAGATGATATTTATTTGTTTACTAATTCATTCAATTATTATTGTTCACTTTAATTTTATACTAAATACACGTATTTTTACTCTTGTCTAGCATTTGTGAGTTCATAACTTCAGCAGACATGAGGCCGCATACCTAGTTATTATTGATGATATAGTTTCAAATCAAAAACAACTGTGCAGGTATCTGGCCAATTTTATATAACATATAAATTGTTTATGTAATGTACCTAAAACAGAGAGCCTTCGGGCAATAGTTTCGTTCATCATGTAATTCTTGTTTGGAAAATGCATGCAATAGTGCAAGCTAACTTATTTTAGGCTTATTAGCAATGCATTATTTAGGCTGATGTGGCATTTTACATCTATACTTATTTAACTTTATAACTTATTACTTTTGCCTATATGTTTCCTGGTAGGTGTGTTGTAACTGTTTCTCGTAGTATATAATATTATAGTATCTTAAAGTAAAACCGAATTATTCTTTTCTGCATTCTCACCCCGTAGCGAAGCACGGGCAGAGCAACTAGTTTAAAAATAAAATGTAGTGACAGCTGACAGCTGGTTTAATATTATTCATTTAATTTGCTAACAACACATGTTCTGATTATTGTTTGTTGTTTATATTTAAGTTGTTACCTAGTTACTTAAAATAAAAGGTTGTACATTTTTCTTGTGACATATTATTTGGCACCGCTACATGGTGGCAGCGGTTTAGTATAAACCACAATGTCAGAATTGTCGGAAATTGATAAATTGACAAAAGTGTTGACTGATTTTTTTGAAGAAATCACAAAAGCTATCTCCACCTGTGAATACTGTTCAGAACATCGGCTCAGATTTTACTAGACATAAATAATCTACTGCCAGGGAGAATCAAGTTGTTAGTAGATTATTTGTGCCTAGTAACATCAGAG